CTGTGGTGGTTACAAGGCAGTTATATGATGATTTTTTGAGGCCTACGTGGCAGCATATCAGAAATAGAACGTGTGCTGACGTGGACAAGCAGTTAAACCACGAAAAAAGTGGTTAAAGGTCGTGGGAGAACGGTTTTAAACACGATGGAACGTGCTGATAACCGTCTCTTTGGCCGCGGCAGCCTATACTGCCGCGCCAATAGCCGCGGCAGTGTAGACTGCAGCGGCCAAAGAGAAAATACTTGATAAGGGAGAGAGAGCATTTTGGAGCAGAGGAGGCTTGAGCTTTCAGTGATTTTGAAGAAGAGAGAATTTTCACCCTTTGACAAGCATCATTCGGTGATTCCTAGAGATCTAAGCTCAAACTTGATCTTTGGAAGAACGGACATCTTACATCGATAAGATATTCGTTTTCAAATCTTTACTTCGATAAACGAAGGAGAGATCCCTAAGCACCCTCACGATCTTTGAATCGGTGGTCAACGAGCCAAAGCACTCACGGCACAGGCAAAGTCCCACAAAAACAGTAGTTGATAAACGACTTCTGTGTTACTTTCTCGAAAGTTGTAATTTTGTTTATTTTTCGTTGTAACATTCTGTAAGCAATCGAAGTTTAATGGAATCTGCAATGGAAACGACTTTCGCTGAAAATAATGACAAACTTATAAACCAATGTTTGAGAAGTGAAAGCATAAAGCGAAATGTGCTTGACCCTTGAGTAAAGCAAAGCACAAGCTTCACGAATTTTATAAAAAGCGTTTGTTTAGAATTTAAACAGTTTAAAAACTACAATATCATTATGCATCTAATGTACATGATGAAAGTGGTGAGTTTAGCAAAAGAATTTCATGACCTGATTGGAGAAATATGGAACTAAAGAAGACCTGATATGAAAATACAATAAGACTACTACATAATGAATAAAATATGCTAATATACAGTTAGGAGGTGTCTTTGCAACTTTCTTAGTGCCCGTAATGGGTCAAGGTCCTTAAATTACCAAGAGGAATCAGATGAGCAAATAACAAAGAGGCAAGGTGCCCGTAATGGGTCAAGGTCCTTAAATTACCAAGAGGAATCAGATGAGCAAATAACAAAGAGGCAAGGCAAGACAATCACTGATGAAGACTACAGTAAACAAGCAACAAGTACAAAAACATAATTCTGTACCAAAATAGCATTAGTCTCACATGAAATAATGTAAGATTCGTATACTAGAGCTTTACCCTACAAGTTGTACCAAAATAGCATTAGTCTCACATGAAATAATGTAAGATTCGTATACTAGAGCTTTACCCTACAAGCTTCATACCAAATTGTCAATGACAACATGAAATAATGTAAGATTCGTATACTAGAGCTTTACCCTACAAGCTTCATACCAAATTGTCAATGACATGCCAATGCTTTAGAGAACTCTGACATGAGCTAAGTTTGTTCTTAACTTTGATCAAACCTGAACTTGTTACACAAACATACGGACAATGCCAAGAACATGCTTAACCAAATGAAACCTGCTTCTAGATTCTTCTCTCTTCCTTCTGGGTCCAAAGAAGAAAGGAGGTGCCGGTGCTAATTGACATTTCTACCGTTTAATGTATGCAATTATAGAACTAGGTCATCTATCATAGATCACATATTAAATGAAAAGCAAGTTCCGGTTAGTGT